CAATATATCATCATTAAGTATACTATATAGGCTTTTTGTAGATTCCATTTATTATATAAAGAAAGATCCCTTCTGTTTCCTGGTTAGCTGAGAGTTTTTTAATTAACCGTGAATATATGTTGAATTTTCTCAAATGACTTTTCTGTATCTAATGAAATGATCATCACTTCCTTTATTCTATTAATGTGTGAATTATAGTTATTGATTTCAAATGTTGAATGAATCATGCATTGCCAGAATAAATTGAATTTGATCATGAGGTATTTTTTATATGTAGCTGGAATTTTTGTTCGTATTTTGTTTGGAATTTTTGCATCTATATTCATGGGAGAAATTGACCTTTAATTTTCTTTTCTTGTAATGTTTTTGCCAGGGGTTTGGTATCAAGATTATTCTGGTCTTATCAAATGAGTTGGGAAATGTTCTGTTGTCTTCTATGCTCTGGGAGAGTTTGGGTGACATAGGGTTATTTATTCCTTAATGTTTGGAAGAATTTATTGATGAAGCCATCTAAGTCTGGAATTTTTATTGTTTTTCTTGTTTATTTGGTGGGAATGTTTTTAATCATGGATTCAATTACTTTTCAGATTTTTTGGGTTACTTTTGTGTTTTGGAAAATTATTAAAAATTTGTTCATTTCACCAAAATTTCAAATTTATTGGCATAAAGTTCATAATAGCCTTGTGTGTTTTAATGACTTAGGACTGTATTGATGTCTCTGTTCTCATTACTGATATTGGGTAAATTGTATCTTTTTAATTTTATTTTTGGGTAGTATTGCCAGGGATTTATTAATTTAGTCTTTTCTAAGAACCTTCTTTTGCCTTTATTTTTCTCTGCTTTTTTCCTCAAAGCTCTTCAGCAGTGGTTCTTAACTTTCCTGCCAATCCAAAATCAGCTGTGTCACTTTAAAAAAGCACAGCTGCACAGGCCCTAACCATAAAGATAATGATTTGTAAGATTTGAGCTGGGACTTTGACACATTCATGTTTAAAAAGCATCACAGGTGATTCTGGTACACAGTCACAATTGAGAACCACTCCTTAGAACTTTTATGTCTACTAAGAAAGTGGCTTTTACTTTGTCATCAACACTCTGAATATTATGATTTTGTAAAAAGTCTCTAGAACCTCCCTGAACAATAGTTTACAGGCTTTCGTACTTTCTGAATAAATGTATCTTCTGCACATTCCTCATGTTATAAGTTAAACTCAATTTTCATGGAGATGCAGAAAAATTTATTATTTTCTAGATAATTAAGCTTTCATTTAATTACCATGTTATTTGATGGTGTTGAGTAGGTTCTGACTCGGGGACCTGATGTACAACAGAATGAAACACTACTTGGTCCTACACCTTCCTCACAATCGTTGCTATGCTTGAGCCCATCATTGCAGCCACTGTGTCAATCCATCTTCCTGAGGGTCTTCCTTTTCTTTCACTGACCTTCTACTTTACCAAGCGTGATGTCCTTCAGGGACTGGTCTTTCCTGATAACATATCCAAAGTACATGAGATGAAATCTCACCATCCTTGCTTCCAAGGAGTCTTGGCTGTACATCTTCAAGACAGCCTTCATTCTGGTCTGTTTTGCAATAGACCCCTGGCCTTGTTCTGAGTGATGATGTCGAGCTTTTCCATCATCTCTTGCCACAGACATAGTTGATTTGACTCCTGTGTATTCTATCTGGCAAGGGCCATGTGTATAGTCGCCGTTTTTTGTTGAAAACGGTATCTGCAATGAGTAAGTTGTTGGTCTTGCAAAATTCTATCCCGTGTCATTTCTATCAGGGCCTTATTTTCCAACAACCAATCCTCCTTTGTTTCTAACTTTTGCATTCAAATCACCAGTAATTATCAATGTATCTTGATTACATGTATGATCAATTTCATACTGCAGAAGTTAGTAAAAATCTTCAATTTCCTCATCATTGGCATTAGCGGTTGATGTGTAAATTTGAATAATAGTCTTATTAACTGGTCTTCCTTTTAAGTGTATGGATGTTATCCTATCACTGACAGTGTTGTACTTCAGGTTAGGTCTTGAAATGTTCTTTTTGATGATGAATGCAATGCCATTCCTCTTCAATTCGTCATTCCCTGCATAGTAGACCTTATGATTGTCCCATTCAGAATGGCCAATACCAGTCTATTGCAGCTCACTAATGCCGAGAATATCAGTCTTCATGTGTTCCATTTCATTTTTGATGACTTCCAATTTTCCTAGATTCATACTTCATATAGTCCACGTTCTGATTATTAGTGGACGTTTCCACTTGTTCTTATTTTGAGTCTTGCCACATCAGCAAATGAAGGTCCCAAACACTTTACTCCATCCACGTAATTAAGGTTGACTTTACTTTGAGGAGACAGCTCTTCCCCAGTTGTATTTTGAGTGCCTTCCAACCTGAGGGGCTCATCTTCCAGCACTATATCAAACAATGTTTTGCTGCTATTTATAAGGTTTTCACTGGCCAATTTTTTCAGAAGTAGCCCGCCAGGTCCTTCTTCCTAGTCTGTCTTAGTCTGGAAGCTGCACTGAAACCTGTCCACCATGGGTAACCCTGCTAGTCTTTGAAAAACGGGTGGCATAATTCCAGCATCACAGCAACACACAAGCCACCGCAGTATAACAAATGGATAGAGAAATGAAGTTGTGGTTAATTACCATAAACACCACTAATTCCTTTAGATTTTTTCATAGGTTTGATTTTTCAGCTGTTCACTCATCACCCATTACTCTTCCTCAATCTTTCTAAAAACTTTCTCCACATTCTCTTTAAGTTATTAAACATTAAATTGACATGTTAATCAACTACAAGTCAGAGTGGAGCTGACTTGAGATACCTTGAAGGTTTTCCTGTGTCTCCCCCATCTTAGCATCCTTGCTTTGATTGTCCAAGTGCTGCAGTGCCCATTAGGTTGTTGGCTAGTTACGATGAGCTCTCAGCCTCCTTATTGCGTTAGCTGATTGGCAGTTTGTAGACAGGTGAATAGCATCTG